GCGCGCAGCGGCCCAGGCACCGGTGAGTGGGTGCGGACTGCGGGCCGGGCTTGGGGGCGGTGGGCGGAGGTGGTTAGTTTCTTGTCAGTTGTCCTAATTATGGGCTGGACTGGGAGGCTCCGAGGACCAAGCAGAGCGAGCACAGTTCGGGTCCGCGCCCGTCCCGAGCTGGCCACCCTTCCCCAAATCAGGTGAGAGGCGCGTCTGGGTTGGGAGGGTACAATTTGAGCTTGTTTGCTTGCGTACCCTCCAAATGTCATTCCGATTTGACCAAACTCTTTCGAGTACAAGGGAGAAATCTGCAAAAATGGGATGAAACCAAGTAAACTCTCTTCCGGAGGCTTTAGCTAACTCCTGTCTCTTAACCCTGACCTGAATGGAAGCGGTATGACTCCCCCGGGCGTCCATTTATTTTAAAGTTGTGCTACTTCTAGGGCGAAATTGCAGAGATCTCCACACTCCCCTCTGCTTCCCAGGAGATGCCCTTGCCCTGCTCATGTACCTTCCGCCTCCCTGCAAACCCTACCGACGGGTCCTTGGCACAGCACGCCGCCCACCCTGGGGTAAACTCTCCCACCTTCAGATTTCCTCAGGTGCCCTTTGATTCATCAAATTGGGAAAGGAAGAAGCCCGGGCGTCTCCACACCTTAATCCCCATGGCTAGAGGCCAGTGGTTCTCAACCTTGGCTGCACATTAGAATCACCTAGGAATCTTTTTAAAATCCTGATTTCTGGGCCTCATCCTCCGGAAATTCTGTTTCTTTGTTATGGGGTGGGGCCACAACATTAGTAACAAAGAAACAGAATTTCCGGAGGATGAGGCCCAGAAATCAGGATTTTAAAAAGATTCCCAGGTGATTCTAATGTGCAGCCAAGGTTGAGAACCACTGGCCTAGAGGCCAATGCACATTTGTAACTGAGTCGGGCTTTTAGAAGCAGCTCTTGCTGGCTCCTTTCCTCCACTCCACCTGCCTGTTTAGTGCTCCACTCTCCAATTATCTTAACCATCCAGCCTGATCTCTCCACAGTGCCAGCCTGCTGAGGGGTCCAGAAGACCTCAGCAAGTCTTTCCCAAACTGTCTCCTGCTGCCCCTTTGTCTTTGGGCAGCTTTAGAGTCCTGGCTATTAAATCCATCTGCGACATCTTTACCAAATCTCGGTTTGCTGATGGCCTCATAAACATCAAAACCCATTACCACACCCAGAAGCCCTCCCTCTTGGTGAAAGTCTGGGTGCTCTCTTTCCCCTGGGATCACTTTCAGGACTTAGCTACATTTATTTCTAGTGTCATTCCAGAAGGAGAAAGGAACAGTGAGGGAGGCTAAAAATCTGGCACCTTGCTGTTCCATGTTTATAACTTAGCAGAACAACTTGCACCTCCTCCTGAAGGTGCCTCATCCCCAACATGTCTCTCTTGGTGGTTATTACCTGAGGGATCTGGGCCCAAGGCATTTGCTCCCCTTAACATAAGCTGTAACCCCTTGCAATCTTCTCTAAAAGATTCACCTGTTCCTCTGGTCTCTGTAGTGTTTCCCTAGCTCTAAAGGCCCTGTGGGTAATCCCTCCTCAGGTGCTCTGGATGCCACTCCCCTTCCTGGCAGAGAGTGCAGGGCAGGGAAGCCTGGGAGCAGGGAAGAGACTCCTTCTTAACTAGCTGTGATATTTCACAGCTCTGAACCTCAAGTCTCTGCACTTAAGTTTCCCTCCACTAATAAAAGCCTTTGATTCCTTTTGTTTCTTATTTATTGTTTGAAGATACGGATAAGTCTAAAATAATTACCTTTTTAGCCCATATTTGGCATTTTAAAAACTGTCAAAATAACTCACCTGATAAGTTACCTGCTCTGGGAAATCAGTAGGTCTTTCTTTGCTGGCTCTGTGTCCATCCCACAACTTATGGCTGGCAGTTCCTATAACCTGACCTGAGACTCTGGAGTGGCCCCAAGTCACTAGGCCTCAACATTTGCTAAAGGCAAGTGATTACTAGAGTTATGTGTGTTGTCTATTCTGTCTCTCCCTTCTTGTCTGACATCATTGGTCTTTGTGCCCATCATGAGGCCTTGATTTCTGGTTCAACTCTTCTTTGTCCTTGAAATGAATCAGCTGCTCCATCATCCAACACCGATGAAAACTGGTTTCTTCCATTGGTTCCACTGGTGCCAAATAAGATTCAACTTCTTTGTGAGTTAGAAAGTGTCTTCCAGTCATTGTTGCTTTGGCCGTGCTCCCCATCCTGAGAGCTCTGAGTTTAAATATTTTCTGTACTTTTGAGCCTGGTTCAGTGTTCAAAAAAGGACAGAACTGTGGATTGCTTGGTTTTCTTATTTTGGCTGTTTTTCTAGTTTGAGGTAAGAATTGTATGAGTGTACATGATTTGGGGGTTTTGCTCCTGCATATACTGTTATTCTTACTATGATTAATTATTTGCCCTATGCTCATGGGAAAATAATTAAAGGAAATTTAATTTGCTGCTTACCCAAAGGCCAGATAAAATACCATTTGAAACTCATAGTTTAAATGCATGATGTATGTCCCCTACAGTTTTGTCTGTGTTTTCACAGTGTTCTTTTCAAGCGGCCGCCTGAGAGTTGCTGTATTTTGCTTTCAAATTTGCTTCAGGGAACAATCAAGTCCCATCACACTTGCATGTTTGGGCTGCCCAGTGCAGGCTCCCGGTCCTTCTTTCCACGCTCATTCGTGTACCTAGTCCTTTCCCTATTCTTCATGACTCGGAATGCCAGAGAATCTTCCATATAGGTTAGCAAATTAAGAATTTTATTCAGAAGTTTGAAGTAAATCCAAGAGTTGAGAGGATTAAAAAGCTGTCTTGAAGACACAGTGTGGCAATAAACAAATCAGAGCCAGAGTAACAACATTAGACAAAGTATCCAGGTCAGGTTAGGAATGCTTTTCTCCCTTGTTCACTCTACAAATCAACTTTTAAACCCATCGCCATTGGAAAGTGCTCATTCTTCTTCTTCAGAATAGGCTTCTCTTTCAAAATTGCCTAAAGTCAGCAGATTACATGATTCGTATTTCTTCTCACTAGGTGCTTATTCAAAGTCTAATAAAACTTCCATAAGCAAAAGTAAATTTTATTTCATTTTCAGTCTAAATTTAGTTATTACTTTATATTTTCTATTTTATTCATGATATGAATTTGTCCTACCAAAAATCAACTCTTCGATGGCTTAATATATAAGCCAACTTAAATCAAGGAGTATCTAAAAGGATTTAAGGTAATATTGAACTAATGTGGCAACTGAGTGCCATCATCCTACTAAAGCTCTAAAATATGTTTCAATCACACTAAAAAAAAATCTAAAGAGCTATTAATTTGCTAGATGTGTCATTAGTTAGTGATTACTTAAGTAGCAAATTTGACGATTGGAAATAGAAAGCAGTATATATTTAGAATAGTCATGGAAATGACAAGTGAATCTTGCTCTTAGCTCTGGTTGTATTCACATTAAAGTTTTGCTATTTGATTTTTATTCTCTTCACAGTAGATGTCCATAGGGGAAAAATTCCCTTGTGTATGAAAACCAAATTGTCTTTCAAAATATTTCACTAACAGAGAATTCACTATATACTATAAACACTGTAGGACTGTTTATTTTACATTATTCTTATAACTCAATTTAGAAGCTTTTTTTTCTTTTGTTTGGTTTCTAAAATAGGTGTATCATCTAAATATCTTAAGCAGAAATAAATATCTAGAATCAGCCAATTCTTGTACCCAAGAATACTTTAAATTGTATTGCTAGTCTCATGTTTAATTTTCTAACATTTACAAGTTTGGAAAATGGGTAAGAAATGCATATGCTTTGTTCTTTATAATCTCATTTGCCTTCATATTTCAGGACCCAATTCTAGATGTCTGTAAAATTTTAAATCATAGAATTAATAATCATTTAGTTTGTGTCAATTCTTATGTGATTTCTAATTCATTTTATACATATACTAGAGGCCTGTTGCACGAAAAGATTGGTGCAATAGGCCTTCCCTTCCCCTGGCTGCTGGCACCGGTTTTCCTCTGGCACAGGTGACCCAGGCCTTCGCTCTGGCCGGAGCCGCCTTCAGTCTTCACTCCTCCGCTTCGCGCCTACATATGCAAATTAACCGCCATCTTTGTTGGAGGTTAATTTGCATATCTCACTGATTAGCCAATGGGAGGCGTAGTGAAGGTACAGTCAATTACCAAGTTTGTCTATTATTAGATAGGATACATTGCTTTGTTCCTTCATCAGATGATGTGAAAATCTTATTTAGATCAGTGTATTTAGTACTTTGAATGGTTAACTTCAGAGTAAAAGTATTTGAGAATTACATATATGGTATACACTCTTAAAGGGAGTTTATGATTGCTAATTCGCTCTTTAAGCTTTCTTTATATATTTCCCATTACATATTAATCAAAGTCCTCTTATCTACCTTGGAAAATGAAGAATTTCATCTATGAAATGTATCAACTATAGTATCAACAATTGAAGATACTTACAGAGGAATACTGTGAATCTAGTGATATTAAGCCCTAAAGTCAACTATAGTATCAACAATTGAAGATACTTACAGAGGGAATACTGTGAATCTAGTGATATTAAGCCCTAAAGACACACCAAAGTAGAAAAATGATCTTTGTCCTAGAAAAATGTTATTCAAGCTAAGTACATATTTAGATACGGGTTTCTTTAATCATCTCAGTACCACTGGGGTAGGAAGCCATTTAAAAACAACTCTCCTCCTGTCCACCTATCAGACCAGGTGGAATGTTTAATGTGGTCACATAGTTTGATTCTGTCACTTCCAAGATAACCGCAACAGCCTTCCCCTCCCATGGGATTATGACTCATTTGACAGTATGGACCACATGTCATATGTTGACCAAATATCCTTGTATTCTATTACTAAGTGCTCCACAATCACTTGCTTACTCTTTGTTGTTTCTTTATTTTCTGCTAAAGCTACAGAAAATGTTAAACACTTTTTTTTAGATCCCTGTATTTTAGAAGAGAAATGTTA